GTGACCGCAGCTAAACACACTTCATACTTTTAATGTTGAACATAAGGTATGTGTTCATTTGTGTCTGTTGGTAAAGTATGATTGGCGATCTTTGCCAATGTTTGCTTAATATTGTCTTGGCTGTTCTCTATTTATATGCTGCTTTTTGTATCTGATGCAACTAAAATGTGCATATACTTACAGCTGAAATGTATTGCTAATAAACAAACAGTCTAGTCTGAAATTTGCCTCTGCATTAGAATAATTTACATATACCAATAGAAGATTTTTCTCTCTGAAAAAGATGCAAAGCTGTCTCTGGGGCAATACCCTAAGGTGCAACAACTAATAGGTACAATTGTATATCTTATTTTTCCCTGAAAGGCACATATTAGGATCATAAAGGTAAATATAAGTATTTTACACCTTCATATTATTAGTGCATAATGCATATTAGTATCTTTTGAAAAGGTACCACCCCAATGACAGTTCTGATCCTTTTTGAGAAAGTATCGGGTAAGCAATATTGCAAATAAATATATGTCAGTTTTGGTGTGTGCTTTGTTTAGGCATCCTGTCATGAAGAAGTGGCCCCCTGGACATAATTGGTTCTTCATGAAGCTGGTTTTGCAGCAGGTTTGGCTGCAGGACTGGGCTGGAGGAGTCTGTCATACCGCTTGAGGAGTATTTCAAAGCGACGCCTTTCTGAGAGAAAAAAGACCAACATCCTATAGTGAAAACGGTACAAGCAGAATTGACCTGATTGTGTACAGAAGGTGGTTATGTTTTTGTTACAAACTACTTTCAACTAGTAGTTTTTTCTTTCTTTTTCTGGCCATGATGCCGGTTCAGTGCCTCTGAACATATTCCTGAGGATTTATTGACTGTAGAAGTTATGTTAAAGGAAGCATAACATTATCTATAAAACAATTTCACAGTTACTTGAGGTTAGAGATCTTTATCACATGTAGACACTGCATTGAAAGGAAAGCCATTCATTCATTATAAATAAACAAATCACTCATGCTAAATAAATCTACCACAGGCCTTCATACTTTAGTACACAAAGAAAAGGTATATATTAAATAGTTGAGTTCTTGCCTGTTTTCTCTGAAACCCACTTTACTGTATTGTAGGTCTGACATTTCATTAACAGCTGAAGTGTGTGTGTGTGTGTGTGTGCAAAAGAGAGTTTTTCATTGGTATTTATGGCATCTAATGCTTTTCAAGTTCAGTTTCAGGTCTGCATTTATACTTCTCAAGGACAGCGACTTATGGTACAGTACATGACATCATATGTTACACTACCTTACGCAATTACAATGTAATTGACACCTTAATGAAATATCTCAAATATCTGTTTGTGCCTTGCATTACGTCTTCACAATGGTACATGTGCTGCACAATTCAAATTTAAATATAAAAAATACATATTGTGTGGAAAGAGTAGTCATTGCTGTTTTGTGGTTGGCGTTTTAGTCTTTTAATGTAAATGAAGAACAAATTGATTGATTGGAGTAATATGAAATATAAGTATTTTTCACCTTCATATTATTAGTGCATAATGCATATTAGAATCTTTTGAAAAGGTACCACCCCAATGACAGTTCTGATCCTTTTTGAGAAAGTATCGGGTAAGCAATATTGCAAATAAATATATGTCAGTTTTGGTGTGTGCTTTGTTTAGGCATCCTGTCATGAAGAAGTGGCCCCCTGGACATAATTGGTTCTTCATGAAGCTGGTTTTGCAGCAGGTTTGGCTGCAGGACTGGGCTGGAGGAGTCTGTCATACCGCTTGAGGAGTATTTCAAAGCGACGCCTTTCTGAGAGAAAAAAGAGCAACATCCTATAGTGAAAACGGTACAAGCAGAATTGACCTGATTGTGTACAGAAGGTGGTTATGTTTTTGTTACAAACTACTTTCAACTAGTAGTTTTTTCTTTCTTTTTCTGGCCATGATGCCGGTTCAGTGCCTCTGAACATATTCCTGAGGATTTATTGACTGTAGAAGTTATGTTAAAGGAAGCATAACATTATCTATAAAACAATTTCACAGTTACTTGAGGTTAGAGATCTTTATCACATGTAGACACTGCATTGAAAGGAAAGCCATTCATTCATTATAAATAAACAAATCACTCATGCTAAATAAATCTACCACAGGCCTTCATACTTTAGTACACAAAGAAAAGGTATATATTAAATAGTTGAGTTCTTGCCTGTTTTCTCTGAAACCCACTTTACTGTATTGTAGGTCTGACATTTCATTAACAGCTGAAGTGTGTGTGTGTGTGTGTGTGCAAAAGAGAGTTTTTCATTGGTATTTATGGCATCTAATGCTTTTCAAGTTCAGTTTCAGGTCTGCATTTATACTTCTCAAGGACAGCGACTTATGGTACAGTACATGACATCATATGTTACACTACCTTACGCAATTACAATGTAATTGACACCTTAATGAAATATCTCAAATATCTGTTTGTGCCTTGCATTACGTCTTCACAATGGTACATGTGCTGCACAATTCAAATTTAAATATAAAAAATACATATTGTGTGGAAAGAGTAGTCATTGCTGTTTTGTGGTTGGCGTTTTAGTCTTTTAATGTAAATGAAGAACAAATTGATTGATTGGAGTAATATGATTATGTAATACAGAATTAAGCTTAAAATAGTATTGCCAAGAGACTTCAGCAAAAGTGTCTTATGTAACGTGGTATCTGGCTCAAGTAAAATTAAAAATGGTCTGTGCAGGTTATAATTAATCATCTCCATTTTAATGATTTCAGCTTTATCTTCAGCTGTACGAGTTCTTGTAATCCAAACTTTTCTGTGAGACGTATAAGAGGCAAAAGGAGGCTGTCAATGTGAGTCACCAGTGAATAAAAATAATCACATAGGCATCACAAAGTAGTACTGCTCGACCGTATGACTGAATTGCTGGCTGTAAACAATGTTGGAATAGAAGAGAAGAGCATATAAATAAAAATAGATTGGGGGAAAGAGCTCAGTCTGTGGAGTGGACTTCAAATCCAGATGACTATGCCAAATGAAGATGAGAGGCAAAAACCAGGAAAGACAAAAGCAATTCATATGGGTTGCAGTAATACTACTTTAATGGCACTATATTTAAATATCAGGATTAGGGGAAATTTGATGAAAAGATATGACAGATGTTTGCATACAATAAAGGGTTAGGCCCACGAGCTATCTGACAGTGAAGGTCAGAAAAGCCAATCAATTATTCATTAAATGTGCATTCCCTCTGGCGCTTGCATTCAGACAGCATACACGCACACCTAGATGCATCTAAATATGGCTGTTTTTTCTTTTTTTTTGTCCCAAGTTAGTATGATAATTATATGAGTAGTAGAAATACTCTCAGGAAAATGGAAAGCTTTTACATTTACTGTGCTGGGGAAAATAAGACATTGATATGGTGGGAATAACTTTTTAATAAAGATAAAAATCTATATCCAGCCTTTGTTAAAATTCGCGTGAGCTGTGTTTTCAGTGCAAATGATTTATTTTTATTTATTTGTATTATGCATAATTGTGCACTAAAGAGAAATGTACATTCACATTATATAATGTTATATTTTTTTGCTTTTACGTCTCTACAAAAACAAACAAACAGTATGGTTTAACGCAATATAGAAACGTATAATTTATTTTTTTGTATGTGTGTAACTTTCCTAGTAATATTAATAATAAACTACATACAAATTCAAATAAATCATTAGGCATATACCACTTTCACCCAGTGGTAAAACTATTTCTGTACTTATTTAAATGTGAATTTAAAATAATATAATGACTGACTATTCTTATTCCAAACAGTGTTGGGGAGTAAGTTACATGTAACTAAATTATGTAATTTAATTATAAAATAAATGTAATTGTAATCACTTACCGATAAAAAAATGTGTAATTAAATTACAGTTACTTATGAAGATGTTAATAAATACAAAGGGTTTTACGTCTGATTTTTTTCACACACATACAGATTTAATTGATTCCTTTCATAAATTTCAGTGACTGCTGTAAATGATGTGAGACACCCAATGTTTAGGACACAGAATAGGACATGCTTAGTCGATAACTGTTTTATTTACTATTTGGATTTATGCATATGCTTTATTTTTTAAGATTAACTGTTTTTTTCCCCCAGTGCATTGATAGATGTCAGTGTTTCCTGTCATAACTACTGTATGCAAAGATTTGATTTCAAAAACAGTATCATTGCTACTGTTTCTTATGGTTTTAAATCTGTACTTATCCTCAGAATGACCTCAAAGTAAGTCTTATTTTGTGTTAGCTGTGCTTTAAACTGAAATGATTATAATCTTAATTCAAGTGATGAAGGACTAATCAGTGTTGAGCACTGTAAAATTAACCCTGCCTGCTTTATATGTTTGAAAATGATTAACAGTTAGAAATTTAGAGAAGTAATCAAATGTGATCAGTTACATTAGTAAAGTAACTGAAATAGTTTAACTACTTATTACATTTTAGATAGGGTAACTTGTAATCTGTAACCTATTACATTTCCAAAGTAACCTTGCCAACACTGATATCAAATATAGTATTTCATAGAAAAATATGTAGAGTACATGTCAGTCTCCGTGCAATGAGAGCTTGTTGAGGAATATTTGCACATTGGACAATGGAAGAGTGTTTCAGCCGGAATTTATAGACACCCAATACTTTAAACAGAATTGCGAAAGGTGTTGCAAAAATTACCTCGGTTTTCATTTGTCATTTGCACTTATATGTTGTTGTTCTTTTATTAGTTTTGACTGCTTTTATTGTGCTCATTTGGATAAAAGCGTCTGCTAAATGTAAATGTACATTTTACTGAGGGGGTGTGCAATGGGTTCAGTCCGCCGTATGGCGGCAGATAGGAGCTGCGCGCTGACTCCAGCCAATCAACGGCAGCGATGGGCGGGGTCTGATGACTCCAGCCAATCATAGTTCTGGGTGAGTATGTAAGTGTGTCTTCAACAAAGCTTGATTGAGAGATCACATCACCGTTGACGACTCTGGAAGGACTGTCCGTCAAATTTACTATTTTAATGAACATCACAAAACGTGTTTTTGCTCGTTTTTTGACAGGATAGTTTTGACGAGATCGAGCTGCGCCGGTACTCTGTGCAATAACAGGCTGCAAGGTAAGAAGTGTTGAACTTGAGGTTGTTGCTCATGCCCGTCTGGCATATTTTGGGGTCCTCCGACAGGTAGTCAACTCTGTTTATTTCACAGCCCCGAATTATATAGCCGTTTTTAACAATTCAGTGTCTTATTTTACCCAGTCAGCCCCCCCCCCCCCCCCCCCCCCCCCATTAATTATCCTCTGCAGTATTTCTGTATGTCTCTTGGTGCTTCATGTCCTTAGAAATAAGGCTGCATACATATTTAAACAGCTACGTTATCTGTTTAACTGTGTTGTAGTCGATGCAGACCGCACAAAAAATAACGGAACCAAAACAATATGATTTCATGTCGGTGTCTGTGCCTATCTGGAATTATTATTATTTTTGTATCTAATCATGATCTCTTCCAGTAACGGCAGGCATGAGGATTGCTCATCTTTCTCTGGAAATGCCTCAGTTCCGCTGGGCTGCCTCGTGACTCCAGCAGCGACCGAGAGGAGGAGCAGACAGCAGATGATCCGGGCCCCCGTCAGCTCCTGCCCGCTCCCCTGAAGCGCGTATGCACGCCTGGATCAGGAGGACCAGAGGCAGCTGCAGGGGAGGCGCTGAAATGAGATGAGGCTCAGACATGGAACTGTTGCCACTGCGATTATTTTCTTCACGTCGTTTCTCAGTCTGTCCTGGTACACGGCTTGGCAAAATGGCAAAGGTGAGTAAGTTCATCTCTGAGATTAATTCGTTTATGCTGTATCATACGAGCTAGACGCTAATGTTTCTTAAATTCAGTACTACATCACAATTGTGAGTGCAAATTTTATACAACAGTTTAATGAAATGTAATGTTATTCATATGAAGCAATTTACGGGTTAAGACTACATTTGGGCTTTTAGTTTGTTAGTTCTATAAGAAACTGAAAAACTTTGCCATTCATCAAGCATCATCGGGTGTAAAACCTGGTCTGGAGCGGTGTGTGCATGTGGAACGGATCTACAGAGATGTTCTCTTCACTCAAATTGTTCTGTAATCAATCTGCTCCAGCTCTGGGTTTTTAATTTGACACGCTCTAGTGAGAGAAACCCACTCTGAGCGAGTGCTGAGTAAAATAAAACACTTGCAACGTCCGAAATCAAATACTGAGTAAGTACTACTAAATTGAATAAAGAACATACTTTTCAACTGTTAAAGAAGTGCATTTTATATAGTATCGATGAGAATAGTATAAATGAAATCCGGACGTAATCCATTCATCATGCGTTCATTACTTCCTAACAATTCACATTTTTCTTTGGCCTCGGGATTGTAAAGTGTCCATCGGATGCATATACACTTTGTAATTTATTCTGCAAGTTATACGTTATTTGGGTCCATTTCGCCTAATGCTTTATGAATTCAGCCATGCTCTTCTCTGAAACTCCATGAACACTGTCAAATGGAGTGATGCAAATAACCATGAAATGCCTCAATATTGACTCAATTAGAATAAGAACCAGAACTGTTGTATAATTAATTAATTAATATGCAGGTTCCTTCAAATAGATTAAGACTCTTTTTGTTGAATTACTTTTTTTGATTGCACCGGTGGGGTGTGCAAATTTTATAGAAGCAATTAATTGTAGTAACTGGTATTTTGGCCTAAGCTATTGAATTCTGTGGTAATATTTTGCAAGGTGCTTGATGGTTAAATAGCTGGGCTGGTGACCAAAAGGTTGCAGATTCAAATCCCACAAGGGGTGATCAGTGAACTGATATCAGGCACCACAGACATCAGTCTGAGAACACATCCAGTTGGCTGTACTAGATGACATTAATCTTAAAGGAAGTTCATATTTTCTGACCATAAAGTTTGTAAAGCGAACTCCGGAGAAGTATGTGGGGAATTTCAGGTTAGGATAATACCAAACCACTCTAGTTGGAAATCAATGGGCTCTGGAGCACATTGTGACAGCTCATTGCTCTATGGTCGATCTAGTTAGATCCATCCGTGTATTGATTAGAGTTGTATAAAGCAGAACGTACAATTCTGTATGCTTGTTGATGATGTTTGCCAAACTCAGATCCTTGCTTCTTTCTCATGCAAGTTTTCTCCTTGGGATTTAGCCAAATCTAGAGGTTGACCAATTTGCATTCACCCTCATTTGCATTCCCAAAGCAAACAAATGGAAAAACATTTGTAATGGCTGTGAGATGTAGTAAGATATCAGATATTTGCGATATTTTATTACATTTTCATGCAAGTTAGGGTTGCATGACATTTTTGGCCTTTGTAAGATTTGTTTTGCAAAATCTGTTTTTGTCATTTGTTTTTGGTGAATTTTGTTCTCTAAGAATTTAAAAAGTCTCTATTTTCCACATTCACATTATACAGACTTTTACTGTACATTTATTTATACTGTATAAAGTTATATGGATTTTTGACTCGAGGTTAAAGGGGTCATATGATGCGATTTCAATTTTTCCTTTCTCTTTGGAGTGTTACAAGCTCTTGGTGCATAAAGAAGATCTGTAAAGTTGCAAAGACTAAAGTCTCAAATCCAAAGAGATATTCTTTATAAAAGTTAAGTGTCACCCACACCTACCTAAACCGGCTCGTTCTAACACGCCCCAACATACCTACATCGCTATGTGGGAAGATTTGCATAACGCCGCCCAAATGTTCACGCAAAGAAAGAAGGCGTAACTTTTATTCTCGCTGTAGTATTGTTGTTGCCGCCGCCATGTCGTGAAGACGCTGTGTGCTTCGTTGTGAAAGCGAAACTACTTTGTTTGGTCTTCCAAAAGAGGACGATATCCGCTTCGTCATGCCTAGAGCTGATCTGTGCTGGTCGCTGAGGAAATACATCAACTTTCACCGTGGACTAAGCGGAGTCCAGCCCGGGGTCGTCACATGTGGTTGCCGCTCATTCGTCGGATTCGCCGGGCACGCCGTTCTCGACCCCGCACACGCTAAGCCGGGGCTTCCCCTCACGCTAGGCCGCTGTGTTTTTCGTTGTGAAAGCGAAACTACTTTGTTTGATATTCCAAAAGAGGACACGACTACAAATCAGTGGTTAAGTTGTATTTACAACACTGTTCCAGAACAGTTTAACCCAAATATCCAGATGTGTGCAGCACATTTTATGGAGGACTGTTTACTGATCCTGGGAGAGTAACGTTAGACTACAATGCCGGCAGTTCTGACTCACGTAAGTACGTTTTCATTTAAAGGATTTGCCACTGATGATTCAAACGTGAGTTTTGGGCAGTGTAGAGTAGCACTTGTTGTTTGTAATTTCTCTGATCACAAATGCAGACAGAGTTTTATGTTTACGCGGCGCAATGCAATGCAACGCGTAAAAAGACTGTATAAGTCATTATAATCCGTAATTATGTCCCCACTGGATGCAACAAATGCCTCGTTTGTAATGGGTTTTAATGTTTTTGTCTCGTCGCTCCGGCCGAGACACGGCATCATATGTGAGGGGCGTAACATTTCCGTCTCACGCTTGAGGTATTCGGCCAATCACAATGCATTGGATAGCTGGCCAACCAGAGCACACCTCGCTTTTTCAGACCGATGAGCTTTGTAAAAATCGACGCGTTTCAAAAAGGTGGGGCATAGAGGAGAAACAATAATGTACAGTATGTGGAAAATGTTTTTTTTTTTCACTTTAAACCGCATAAAAACATTTCATTACACCAAATACACTAAACAATGTTCTTTTTAGCAGCATCATATGACCCCTTTAATAGAATAGACTACAGTCCTCGAGAGGAATCTGAAAAATTCCCTCTCCCCCAAAAACCTGTTTTATAACATCATATTCAACCTGTCGTTGAGAAGCTGTTGATCCTGGATCTTGTTAAGGTTAATTTAGTTGAAGATTCTGTTTAAAGCTTTAAGGTACAAAGAGACACTTGTGTGTCAGCTCATTGGACGGTTCTCAGAAATGTAAGATACATCCTAAAAAATGTGATGCGCAACCTAAGCAGTTGAATATCAGAGTCAGACGGGAAAATTTTAGAGAGAAAAGTCACTGTATTCATTGACATGAAACCCTCCCACATATGTACACACCTCGGAAACCTGGTCATCGAGGGCATATAGTGACTCATTATTTCATAGTTTGATGCCACTCAGGTCTGAATAATTCTCGCCTGGACTTGCTGCTCTGTTGTAGGCTTGACGTGATTGACGGTGATACCGTTGTTAAGCCGCAAAAAAACAGTTATGTCACTTGCCCACCGCTGCACCGACCCCCACCATCGTTTAGTTTTTTTATAGTAATAAAAATCATTTAGTTCAGTAAAAGAACAGACACTACATTTAAAAACTGAACGCGGCTGCTCAATGCAGTGTGCCGAACGACAGTCGCATCACAGATCAGATTTAGTTTACCCAGTGAGGAGAGTGAGTCGAGCTGACTGACAAGAAGAATGAGGTGAGACAGACAAGACGATCACGGATAATTTAGTTTCGAAACGAAATGCAAAAGCGCCTGTTTGGCAGTATTTTGGATTTTGAAAAGCCTGTTGACTTTTGCCATTTATCTAAGGGGATTTTGGAAGTTTTTTTTAAACATTCGTTTCTTATTTAATTGGTTCCACAGTGTTACCAGTGTTATTTAAACTGTGTTTAATTAATTAATTAATTTTTTACATCAAGGTGTATGCTGTGCCTCCAAGCTTTCTTATTCGTTTTGCTAATAAACGTTCTACCTTTCTTATTTATTTGGTTATATATTATAGGCTACATGTTTTGTATACCTATTTTACAAAAATAAATGGGTTACTTTATGCAAGTTATTTGTTATTTTATATTAGGCATAGCCTGCCCTATAGCATAGTGTATTTTTATTAGTTTTGTTAATAAAAGTTCTATTTTTATATATAGGCTAAAGTAAGTTAGACGTTGTATTTTGTTGTTGCATTCAAGCAATTGACGCCGAATTGCCACTGATTCGAAAGTGAAAGTAAAATACGCACAGCGCTTTTAAGCTATTTAAAAGCGAAGGAAAAGAGGGAAAATTCAAACAAACTAAAAACGAACAATTGCTTTACGCCGAATTGCCGCTATTTGAAAGTGAAAGTAAAATGTGCATGCCAGCTATTTAAAAGCGAAGGAAAGTGAGGAAAATAGGGAACGCCCCCGACCCCACGGTGATACCGGTATTATCCGTGTTGTCACACGTCGATTAACCGGTGGGAAAATTTCCTCACCGTCACAACCCTACTCTGTTGCCGATTCTCTGAGTGGTGTTTGTATAGAGAAACGAATGTATAATGTTTTCAGTTCAGCCTGATTGCTTCGTTATTGCCTTCTAAGGTTCAAGGTTCAGCCTGATTAGAAGTTCAGCAGATCTGAAGGTTTTTTTGTGGTGTTCTTGGTGTTTGTGGCCTAGCTGAGCATGCTTTGCTTATTTTCAGTTGCCTGTCATAGTAATTGATTTGTACATGTGTACAGCGAATGTTACCTGAAAGTTAAATATGGCTGTGCTGAGTCCTATCAAGATAAAACATTTCCACTTTATATAAAATATCTATTTCATTAGAAACTCTTTATATTTCAGATCCTTTTATTAATGAATTTGTGTGTGATAAGTACAAACTCACAGCATTTCTTAGCATGGTCAAAACCACTTCTAAGAGGCACCATACTGAAGATTCAATCAATATTCAGCTATGATATTCTGATGCATCATGATGTTAAAGTCACATGTTAATATTTGTTT